CTGTTACAAAGTTAAAATTTTTTAATTGCAATAGATACTGAAAAAGTACCATCACATAGGGCTCAGCAGAAACAATCAAACCAAACATTTCTACTGACAGAAAAAGGTCACTACGTCGGTTTTCATGGCAGAAATACAAAACAGAAAAATGTTCTACGATCTCTGATCCCATTTTATGTAATTGAAACGTTCAACAGGAGCCCTGTTCATAAATGTGGTGGCATCCTCACCACATGTGGCCCTGTACTTCTCGTCACAGTAAGGTCTAAAAAACAAACCAAAAAAACCCTAAAACACAGAAACCAACCCAACAAAAAAAAAACAGAGTTTACACCTTCAAAACATTTAAAATTCAGCTTTATTCACTGCCCTGTGTTCCTGGAGAATTTACACACACACGCACACGTACACGCACGCGTGCGCTCACGGCTCAAGCTGAGTCCAGGACGTAGGCCACGCCCCTCCCTGCGGCATTCGCAGGCCCCTTCCTGCAAGCACTGGCCTCTGGGTCCTACCTGAGCTCTATAATATGCATGTTTCCAAAAACTTAACAACTAGACTAAAAACAATTGCTTTAGGCCCTCAGAATGAGGTGCCCAGAGAAATGTGCTGTTATTCTTCAAATCTCTCAGTGTTACATTTATTTTCCCATAGGGAAACTTTGTCTAGATTTCAAAGATAAACTCTCCATATATTCAACATGGGTTACAATTGTGGTCTTAATGAAGATGATCAAGTACTGACATTTACTTTGCAAGGAAATAAGAAGGAGTGCCTGGTACCTCCTCTCTCACAGTCAGGATTCTGCTTCATTTCCCAACCAGGGATCCATCGAGAGTTGAAAACGGTCTTCAGTTATCTAGATCCTCATTATTCCTGTTGGTGAGCTTCCATGCCCCTTGCCCAAATCCTTCACAGTAGCATCCAGAACAACTCACAGTGATGACCTTACAGGCCACCATCTGAGAACCCAGTGACTCCCATGTCCCTGCAAGCTCGGGGTGTTCCTGCCTTTCTTCCTTCTGCTTTAGCTCCTGGAACTGCATTCCTAAGTCCCAGCCTGTCTCCACATCTTGCTCAGGCATCCATCGACTCACTTAAAAAGAGTTACTAAGTACTGATGTCCCAGTCAATAAGCAGACAAATAGAACATGTCTTTGCCTATGATGGGGCTGTGATCTAGTGCACAAGATGGTTTCCAAAATGATCACATCCATCTAAAAACTTTCCATAAAAGAAAGAGGCACAGTGGGCTAGAATACTCTGAGGAAGGAGTCCTGGAGTAGTCAGGGAAGGCTTCTAGGAGGTGGTGACATCTGAATCTGGTCTTGAAGACCAGGTAAGATAAGAAATTTTCAGAAACAGGGCAGTCGCACAAGTTCCACTTTCTCCACCTTCCAAGTGCTTCTTCATCTGTACCCGAGGGAAACTCCTCTAAACCGGCACTGAAAGACAGTATCACCTAGGGAGCAATGATGACTGAGTTCCAATCCTGGCTCCTTCAATTTCAGGTGTGACACTAACACATTGGTTTACTTTCTGAACTTCTTCCCTCAGATCTGTGAAACGCAGATGAAAAAGGCCCTGTAAGGCTGTCGTAGGGATTAAATAAGATCATATCTAAGGCACGTGAAGGTTTTAATGCCGCGAAACCATTCTGAACACTAACTAAAGAGAGTCCTGTCACCTCCTTGCTGTGTGTGACCCTGGCCAAGCTTCCAAGTCTTGACTGCTGTACCTGCTGCATCTCCTGGTCCCTCTCCCTCTTCCCTGCGACCTTGGCTGCTGCCTGCCTTCTCTAAGCTCCTGCTCCGGGGCCCAGTGCTCAGGGTCTCCCTGTCTGCACGGCTCCAGCTCTCATTTCACCCAGTTACTTGCCCACATGTTACCTGCTCAGAGATACTTTTCTTGATCACAATTCTATTATTTCTTAAAAAGCTTTATTTATTTAATCTCTACTCCCAATGTGGGGCTGGAACTCATGATCCCGAGATCAAGAGTTGCACACTCCACCGACTGGGCCAGCCAGGCTCTCCTTGACCACAGTTTTCAGTAGCCTCCCCCTTGCTGCTCTCGGTTTACCTGCTAGATTTTAATCCAGTGTCTCTGGTCTGTCTCTTCCACAGAATGTCAACTCCATAAAGGAAGGGACTTGGCCTTGCTTTCACCATCATACCCCCGCACCCAGAACAGGGCCTGCACAGAGCCAGCACACAGTATTTCCTGACTGAATTAATGCAAAGTGGAAAATGTCAAACTGGAATAATATCCATCTTGCAGGGCCCGCGAGGGGTTCAACGAGATGAAGCGTGACAGAAAAGCACACACTCATGGCCGGCATGCCACTGGACTGCAGCCTCACACCAGGAGCCTGAAGAAAGAGAATGGCTCGCTGTGGGGGAAGCAGATGCAGAGTGTGCAGGCCCAGGACAGCTGGATCTCTCCGTCGGGGGGCCAGTAACACCCCCACATGGTGTACGTTTCCAAGCCACTCCTTAAAGAAACACCCTCAGGGTTTAGAAACAGTACTGGTTTTCTAGGCATCAAGGTAACAGCTTCTGAGTTAAGTGTGAGGCAGGCTCCTGGTGGGCCGGATGTCACGTTTTAGTCTTTGTGGAAGATAGAAGGACACCACACCTGCTCGCCCAATTCACCGAAGTGAGCAAGCAGTAGTGTGACAAGGGTACACAGAACTCTGGAGCCCCTGGTGCTGTCGCTAAAGATGCCCTGAACATGGAGTGCTCTCCTTCGCCGGCAGCTATAGATGACCATGGTGACAACCACGTAAGAGACAGTGTCACCATCAGAACGGGAAGACTGTGACACGTGACAATGACAACAACGTCCCGGCCAACGGGACAACTCAAGCAAGCTGAATGCCCGCCGTGAGAAGGTGGGTGGTGGAGCACAGGTCCCTGCTCTCTGAGGCTGGAAAATAATGTGTGTGGGGGTGTGGGGGGAGGGAGGCCTCTGAGGGCTGAGCTAAGGAACCTAAACTTTGTCTAACTGTAAATTATAACTGAAAGTCTCTGACCAGAGAGCTGCCTATTTAAATTATATACGTATGATGGCAATTCAATTAATTAACACGGAGAAGGGACTGAGGGTCAGACTTGTGGCTACGGGACAGCTAGGGAGAACAGTGAAGGCAGGACGGGAAAGGATGAGTGGCAGGGAGAGGCAAAACCCCGATGTTCAAGGATGATCAGGTGCTAAAAACTCTGAGGTTCAAAGCCTGAAGCAGTGAGGACACTGATGAAAGGGGGTCAGGAAAACAGGAGAAGGAACAAGATGAGAAGGGTCTCTGAGGACCTCATCTGAGCTGCAGAGTCCTGATGCACCTAACGGGGCACCTCTGCTCTCTCTTCAGCGTAGGGCTGGGGTACGCACTGGCCCGCATGGGGGCGCTCCCTGGGGCTCGCTCGTGCAGCTGCTTGCGGCCCGCAGGACGATGGAGAAGAGCTCTGAGAGTGGTGCACAGCTGGCCCCGGTCTCACCCGTTCTTTACGGCACGCAGCAGGTCATCCCGGGGCGCCCGGCCGTCCTCCTCTCCTCTGGACCCAGGCCTGCTCATGGAGAGAATCCTTCGCCATGCTCACCACTTTAGCACAGGGTGGCTTTTGTCTCTCCAACTAGATCACAAACTCCCTGAGGGCCTGATTTATGTCTGGCCCATCTCCTGTGCCCAAAAAGCCCTAACAAGGGGCAGGCCCAACACGTGCCAACGCCAAGTACCCCGTAGTGCCCTAGCACCACCGCTGGGTTAGGAGAGCACATGGGTGAAGGCAGCATGCCAGCATGACAGACTATTCTTTCAGAACGTGCTGGCAACCCGCAGTCCACCAGGCATCTGACACCGGCCAAGGGCCCAAGCTCGAGTACTCAAAACGCTCTCCAGCTCGTCAGGGAATGCCTGCAGCGCTCTGACACATCCCACCGCTCATCACTAGAGTACCTTTGCCAAGCGTATAAAGGTGGGCACGAACACTTCTTGAGGGAGGGCTTGTGGGCTGTTTGTGCACAGTAAAGAACAAGCAAGTACATTTATATGCTGGAACACTAGGAAACAATACAGTCATCGACTAGGCAATAGCATGACACTAAATTTCAGGAAAAACTAACTCAAGGGAAATCAAGCGAATAGGATTTAGGTTTCTTCTGAGTCAGATTATCAGATTCCAGAGTTATTAGGAAGCTGCTGTTGTACAAACATAGCACAGAGCTCAGACCGGACTGCAGACGTGCGTGCGTGCATGTATGTACATGCACGCACGCGTGTCTGCGTGGGGTTCACGTGTGCGCATGCACGCGTTTCTGTGTGGGGTTCACGTGTGCGCACATACGCATGTCTGTGTGTACGTGTAAAAGATACCAAACTTGGGTGCACAGAAGATGCTTCCCATTCCCGCTTTCCTCTATTTCCCACATTTTTCAATGCGGGGAAAAGGCACATATTTCTTGAAAACATACCAAGGAAAGCACACCATACTCATGACACCAGCAAAAAAATAGTTAACATACTGCTTGTGCCAGTATCTTAACTATGTCTCTTAAAAAAACAATATTCAAACACCACTTGATGTTAATTGTGAAAGACAGAAACCACTGAGAAACATTTCGCATTTCCTGAACTCAAAACAATAAATACACAAAGTATATACTGTTACATTCTAAGTTGCAAAGATTAATTATAATGGCAAGTTCAAAAGTAAAAATGTTCACTCTAAGTATGGTCAACATGACATTACAACTGAAAAATAACTTGCAAGTCTATACAGTCTTGTATTACATATACACATCTCCTCTGAAGAAAATCTTGAGCCATATTCAAACCCATTTAATGAGGTTAAAATTATGGAGCTTTGGGTGGTCAGACGGCTTAGCTTTCTAAGCTATTCTAGAAAGAGCAATCACAATAAAGAGCCCGCTCCTTCTATAGCACCGTGAATGTTTCTGCTTGGCAGCTTGCTATCTGGGGCTTTCCGGGTGGAGCCTCTCACCTGATACGGAGACCGCGTGTGTCCGCATGCCTTGTTTCTCGCTGTTGGCCAGCCTGGAACAGAGAGGAGCAGAGCCGTGAACGCCATGCCAACAAACAGGGGGTGCCTACAGTCAGGACCATGCCATTTCCCATGGAGACCATGCACTCTCAAGGGTGATTTTTAAAAGATTAAGCGCTACTACCTGAGGCACTTAAAATAACCAGACCGCTCTACTATTTTAGAAACAACAGGCAACTGGAGGAACACTGAGATGCTCTGAGAGAGCCGCTCGTGACAGCAGCTTCAGCCCTATACCACCACTCAGCAGCTGGTGGGTATGTGGGTCAGATCAAATTTTATACTGCAATGCTAGACTGCAAGGGGTCGCCCCACATTTATAAAATAGAGGGAAAAGAAACACCTCGAATTGAAATTGCACTCTAAAACATAATTTGAAAAACACCCAAGAGTATGCCTGGTCCTCCTTAAATTCAGAGCATGTAAAAAAGCAGGCAGGACCTTAATACCTATTTTTATTATTTACAGAGTAAGCCTAATGTCTGGTTACTTGTTTCATAAAATGGCCCAACAACAGGTGTGTTTTAGATATCTACCCACATAAAATAAAATTTTGGCCAGAAGTCTTAGTGACATTTAAAAAACAGAAGCATAGTTCAGTTTTAAATTTTTGGAAAGCACAAAACACAGAGACAGAAAAGGAACCCTAGACTCTTTAGATGCCAAAGTGACTTTGACATTTTTATAGAAGAAAACTTCTTCCAGATACGTAAGCATGTACTATAGAAGTGCTGAACAGAAAATGGTTCTAGCACACAGAATTTACACTGGGAAATACGGGACCTGGACAGTAGATCCCTCTCGAGAATGGGGAAGATTCAGTATGCAGCTGCGGGGCCTCTAGGATCGGTGATCTCAGCATAAAGCCATGGGACCAAGTTCCTTTTACTGAGTTCTCTATGCATCTGAGATATAATGAGCTTTAGGGTTGAACCAAAACTGCCGTGTGACAAATCACCGGTTCCTCTTCTACTGCAGCTACATGACTCTTGGCAACTCTCTGAACCACGCGCACAGGGAAGTTGGGGTGCGCGCTCCCGACAGCAGGTCGGGCCGTGTGCTTCCACGCCCTGCTGCCCACGCGGTGGGCTCTTCCTCTCCCACGACGCGTCTCCGGGGGCTGCTGCACATCCGCTTGCTCACGACTGCGCGGATTTCACCACTTTCCAAACAAGAGCCGCCCCAGGGTCTGCTGCTCTGTGATTTGTGGCAAATGTCACTCTTTTAAAGTTTCCTTTTTAATTCACTGTTTCTAGCATCTGTTGCCGCTTCTACCTACTACCGTCTTGATCCACTTTTGTATCTATGTTTATGATTCTGCATATTTTAATCCTCAAAGTTATCTCTTACAGATTCTCTACAGTTGAAGATATTCTGGGCATATTTTCCTGGCCTATTGTGGGACATTAATAAATATCTATTAAACATTATTGAGTTTGTGAAACACACGGCCTGAAAGCTGAAAGCAAGCTGGCTTTCACTCATCCCTCCACCACCCGCACAGCCACGGTGCACCTCCCACACACCAGCTACTCCCCGGGTCAGGTCCATGATGCCACATGACCCTGGCCGTCCACAAGGTCCTGGGGGCATGGATGAGCAAAGAGGTAGTTGTGAAAGTGTGGTAAGTCCTCCAGCAAGGAAGAAGGTGTTATGGGGAAGCACACAAGGTGTGCTCTCCAGGGCTGGGCGATCGTGGGAGGTTTCTAGAGCCGGAAAGATGAGCAGGGCCTAGGAGAGGTCACAGAGGCTGGAGGACGAGTGGGGCACGCGAGCAGAGAGCATTTTAATGGCTTGGAGGTAAGGAAAGGACCAGTTACTCCAGTAACTAAAGGAAGTTCAACAGAGCTGAAGAAGAGCATGAGTGGTGGTGAAGCAAGCCTAGAGGGGCTGGCAGGGGCCAGTGGTCAGGGTCTGGCCCTTTGGCCCAAGGATGCTGGCCTGTACCCACAGAGCAACAGCAACGCCTGCAGGTGTCATGAGACTCTGTTCCATCCCAGAGCGCTCAGCACTCGGCTCTGATGCTTACTTACCAACGTGTCCACATCTCCCAATTTTAACTCCTCTGGTCCCCAGTCCCTTGCACGCTGGCTGACCCCACAGAAGTTACTAAGTTAAGTTCTTCTGGCATCACTGCTCAATTCTTTTTAATCTTATAGATCAACACACCTACTATGAAATTCGTGACATCAGCAACTTAAAAAATGAACACAAATACTTATGTTTACTTTTCTCACTTGTAAAACGGCCAGAATGGCACCAATTCTCAGGTTCTTAAAAGGCGAGTGCTGAGTATAAACCATCAACAGGCCTCCCCGGTGCTGTCACCGGGATGGTCCTCCAGCTGCCTGATCAACTTAAGATAAGGGGAAAGTCATTTTACGTTTTTCGTTAAAGCTAAATACATAACACGATTTACAACTCATTTCACTTCTTTCTGGAAATACTTGTTTTCTACTTCCCTAGTTGTATACACAGAAGTTTGATGATTCAGGCAAATGGAAAATAAAGCATGGTGATTGCTTGACAGTTTCTAACACAAATAAGTAACAAAATACACAAGGCAGCACTTACTTTGGTATTGATGGCAAAGCCCGTTCACCTTCTGGAGAAAAAGAGAGAGAGAGATGAGGTCCCTATTTCTTTTGAAAAGATTATGTGTAGCAATCAGAGAACAAGGGTAAGTCTTAGTCCAGAATTTAGCAACAACCCTCTAATAAGGAAGTTATTACACCGTGCATCTTAGGCTTTCGTGGTTTGTTTTCAATATTTATAACACACATAAACCGACTGGAGGTGCATATTGTATAAAAGGAACTGTCTAATCAGAGCAAAGCCCTGAGGGGATAAGTGGGTGAAAGACATCCCTACACCAAGAGGACTGGCCATTTTGTCCTCTGATAAAAATGCTCAGTAGAAGCAACACCAAAACCTGTCTAGGAAACACAAATATAAGGAAAACAAATCCTCGGGATGTGCAGAGGCAGAGAGGCTGATGCACCAGAGCAGCCCAGGAAGCAAGCAGGCCTTGACCAAGCGGTCACCTGCCACCCATGACAGGGGTGGGCTCGGGGCTCCCGGCAACAGCCCTTGCTGCTCTCATCACAGCGAAGCACAGGGCTCCATTTGGTGGTTGGCGGACACGCTCTCTCCCCACCCTCCTTCCATGAAGCAGGAAGCACAGAGCTCCCAGGCCAATGTCTTCTATCTGTTTAAATCTAACAGGCACCTAACTAATCCTCTCTTCTAATCCATCCCTGGGCTAAGTTACTACGAGGATCATTTCCCCCCCAAAAAAAACTCATCAAGTCATTCCGTTGTTTAAAATTCCAGTGTTTCTCATTGGCTTTTTTTTTTAAAGATTTTATTTATTTTTTTAAAAGATTTTATTTATTTATTTGACAGAGACACAGCGAGAGGGAACACAAGCAGGGGGAGCCGGAGAGGGAGAAGCAGGCTTCCCACCCAGCAGGGAGCCCGATGCAGGGCTCGATCCCAGGACCCTGGAGATCATGACCTGAGCCGAAGGCAGACGCTTAACGACTGAGCCACCCAGGCGCCCCAAGATTTTATTTTTAAGTAATGTCTACACTCAACGTGGGACTCGAACTCACAATCCTGAGATTAAGAGTCGCATGCTCCACTGACTTGAGCCAGACAGGCAACCCTTTCGATGGCTTTTAAGATGAAATTTAAGCACATCTGCTCAACCCACAAGGCACTGTTTCGTTTCTGCTGGCACACAACACTGCCCTATCTCCATCTTTGGGGTGCCTGCCCACCTACCGCCCATCTCTCTGACGCCTTGCCACGTAGTCCATTAGTGTCACCCAGTGCAGTCACAATTGCTGCCTACAGTTCTGCTCCTTGCACTTGCCCTAGAACTTACCCCAAGAGCTCTTCGCCCCCAGAAGTTACCTTTGTCCTGTCTCACCAGTCTCGCTACCTACTGCTCCCTGGAACTGGGTGACTGCATATCATATTTCCCTGAACACATCATGCTGCCTTCACACATTCCGACCCTTGAAAGGTGCTCTTCCTTCTGGCAGAAAGACCATTCCTCAACCTCTCAAAGCTCAATTCAGTGGGGGATGGGCTAGATGGGGGATGGGTATTAAGGAGGGCACTTGTTTTGATGAGCACTGGGTGTTGTATGAAAGTGACGAATCACTAATTCTACTCTAGAAACCAATATTGCACTCCTTGTTAACTAACTACAATTTAAAAATAAATAAATGAATGAACGAATGATGTAATATTCTAAAAAAACAAAACCCCCATCCAAGCACAATTTGAGCTCCAGGGAGCCCTTCCTGAAGCAACTCAGGTGGTTCTGGGTGGCGCTGCTGTGCTTCTGCCTCGTTCCAGGGCACTTCCACGTGTGAGAACACTCGAAGATTGGACTTAACCTGCACACAGGTGTCTCTAACACTCAGCAGGGCACCCTGCGCTCAGAAGGTTCTCAGACCACTGCTTGGTAAATGAAGAACCGAATCAGCCTCGGATCCCACGTGAGTGACTCTGCACAACTATTTATCTGTGAAACAGAAATCGGACCGTCTGGTTTGCAGGGACAGGTGAGGCATGCGCAGCAGCGCAGAACACAGACGACCAGCATGTGACACCCAACGCGCTGCTGCAATCCCATCCAAACTGCCTCACTCTGACTTTCTGACATCCGCATTTCAGGCAAAATAACCAAGTGACACCACGAAGGCCAAACGTGGAGTTACTAGAAAATCCTATCATTAGTTGACCACCCATGAAGGCTCCGACCAGGTCTTGTCTACACCCACCACTGTCAGTTAATAACGGCCGCTGGCCGTCTGCACTCTTTGTTGCAAGGTCTACTTCCCTGGGGAGAAAAAGAGACCAGCTCAAAAACATTTGGTTAATAGAGACTTCCTAAGCAGCTGGGCAGGAGCAGAGAGAAGGCTGTAAATGAGCTGATGAACAACAAAGGATCCTGAGTACATTTTCCAGAAGCAAGACCGTTACAGATCACTGAGCAAAATGGCCACACACACTAGCAGCAGCATTGTTACAAAAACGCAGGACTCACCGACTAAAACGCCCAGTTCTAGGTGTCAGTTTTTAACATTCCTTTAAATTTATAAGCTGAAGGCCTAACATACGACTTCTCATGTCATTCCCACGGCAGATAGCTTATTTCCCGGAATAAATCCTTTAGGATTAAGGATGTATCTTTATATTAACCTACATTTGACTTCTAATTTTTGAATAAAAGTTCTTACCTGTTTTTTAAATTAAACAATGCAGATTCCCTGTAACAAATCTAAATCATAAAGGTGCATATTATAGAAAGGAAGTGGAAAGGCCGAAGCCTCGTCCCCTGCTTCAGTCACATCTCCACCTCCCTGGGAGTACTCCCTGTCCACAGTTGGTCACTTAGCTGCCCAGATTTCCAGACTCCTCTTAAACGTGCGAATACACACACACAGGCCTGGCTACATATATGTGTGCGCGCGCAGGTGTAGGCTTTTAGCACGAAAATAGCACCCCCTCCTGTTTTTCACAGCTGTGGAGTACTCTATGAGGGGTGCATGCTCCCTCACTTAGTGATTCCTTCCCATTGTTTGGACATTTAGGCTGTGTCTGGTTTTGAGCTGCTACACACACTGCAGAGTGGACACCCTGTGTCCATCGGATTCTGCAGGACTTCTAGGAGGTGGACAATGGGCAGGGCGCCATCGCTACACTGGCCTCCGGCAACTTACGCAGACACCAACAAAATGGGAGAGCACATCTTCCAAGGATGGAATGGAAGATCCGTCGCTTCACCCAACCTAAACCAGAAAATGCGATCTGTCGCTGCTGGTGTCCAATGCCTATTGCACATCTCCACGTCCACTCTTCTACAAGAAGCCTATTTTCATACTGGCTTGTCTTAATGAGCTGGAAGAACACGTGAGAAAGAAGAGATTTTAATTCTTTGTTGTCTGTGTCACAGATGTTTTCCCTCCTGTATCTCAGCTTTAAAAAAATGTTTCTTTTACTAACAGAAGTGCTTTCATGTTTACAAAACCAACTCTGTCAATTCTGTTCTTCCTACCCTCTGGGTCATGACATCTTAGAAGCATACCTCGCCTCCCTCCCAGGTACAGGCTTATTATCATCCCGCACACAGGAAATCTTCTGAGGAATGAGGAAATTATGACCCTATGTTAATCAGCATAATTCTTTCCTCTGAGGAGAATTTTACTAAAATTGAAAAACTGCCCCTGAGCTTTCTTGTGGGTAAGGCATAGGTTAGCTAACGCCCCACAATAAGGGTCAAGGTAATTCAGCAACTCTGATGGAACTCAGTTCAGGATATCTTGCTTGTGGCTCTAATTACATTTTCCACCCCAGTAAACACCACCTTTAAAAGCACTTTATAAGTGCAAAGTAATTGTGGTAGATCACAGAACTAATCAAGTGCATCTGAGCATACTCACAGCTCACATATAGAACTTACAGGTCACTTAGAACTGGTGTCCCTGTTATGCATATAAACATGTACCTGTTGCTTACCATTAAACAGTTTACAATCTAGAGAAGACATATGGGTACATATATGTTATTAAAAGAACACTGCCAGGAAAATGGTGCACTGGGGTGTAGAAACACGTTTTAAATTTATTAGAAATTTTAAAAAAATCTAGGGGTGCCTGGGTGGCTCAGTCATTAAGCATCTGCCTTCGGCTCAGGTCATGATCCCAGGGTCCTGGGATCGAGCCCCGCATCGGGCTCCCTGCTCCGCAGGAAGCCTGCTTCTCCCCCCCCCCACTCCCCCTGCTTGTGTTCCCTCTCTCGGTGTGTGTCTCTCTCTCTCAAATAAATAAATAAAATTAAAAAAAAAAAGAAATTAAAAAAATCTAAATTAAAAAATGCTCATGTACTCTTGTCCACAAGTATTTCTGACTATAATCCATTAAAAATGTTTGATTTAAAGTATTATTTCCATTAGGCAGTATACCTTCACATTAGGTATCTATTACAAAATAGTTGTATAATAAATGAACATGCTGGGATTGAGAATAAAGTAAGTACACTATCGAGTCTAGTGTCTGATTCTGTAAAGACAACATAAAATTGCTAAGAGGCAGCGCCCTACTAGGATTTTATGAGAAGCGTTTTCACTTGTGCTCTTGTCATATGCACGAAGAACTTAATGCATCTCAGTTCACAAGATGTGATATCAAAATGTTTATCCCTAAGGAGGAAAAAAAAAGCCAATTAAAAACCAACACAGGAAGGTGTTGAAGTTTCAAACATGGAATGGCTGGCTTATTTAATGCTTAATGTCTGAATGTTATTTTTTTGTGTGCACAAACTGATAAAGAACATTTGGTAAATTAGGATAAAAAATTTTAAATTATTTACTAAAAAGGAGACAGGCAATATGTCACATTGAACACTTTCACAAAATACCGTCTTCATGGAAAGGAATTTCCCTAAAACATTTAAATGATATTTGCAAGGTACATACCCCTGCTTAAAACACAAAATGAAAAATCAAGAGTTTACGTCTGTACAAGTTTTAACTGAGAGTAGCCTTTAGACCTTTCTAAAAGCAACTTCATTACTATATTTCATTCAAAGAAAGCTACTATAAATCTAAATATAACTATATTTTAGAATAGGTTTTAATGGTGTGATCACAAAGATTTTTACTAGATTAGGCATATCCTAGAATCCACACACTTTAGCTATTGTTTTCAGAGCACATCATGACACTAACTTTTAAACAAAGGTTCCAATGATTCCCTGCCTCACACCTCCCCCCGCCGCTCCCAACTGCTCCCTCCAGCCGCTCTGTGAACACAGGGTACGGGGCTGCTGGTAGGCCGGGTTTTCTGCTGCGTCTCTACCAGGAGTTCAGGACTCCATCATCTGTTTTCCTAGCTCCTCTCCACGCCGCGTACCTGGACACACAGCACTCGGCCCCTCAGGACCACTTTCCTGTGATGGTCCTGGTCACGGAGGGGAGTGATGCAGGGGATCCCGTGTCTACCGGCCACAGAGCTGGCTACTTTGTGGGCACCACTGTGGACCCACCTCCCACGCCATAAAGCAGGCATCGTTCTTTACGGATGAGGACGGTCAGAGTCCAGGTTCACACAGTAGGTCAGGATCGCCCTCGAGCTAGCAGCAGCTATGGGAACAATGCTAACATTTATGGCCACTGCATGTGCCAGACACAGTTCCAAGCCTTTCACACAGATGAAGTCATTTATCCTCCCTAAACCATACAAGACAGGTGCCACTCTGTGTGTGTTAGAGCTAGAGAACCGGGCACAGAAAGGTCAAGCAATTTACAGATGGCAGCTCAGAGGACTTGCCATTTGAACACACAAAAGGATACGTTTCTAGAACCCAGGTTTTTCCTGCTACCACTACGCTATTTTCCTGCTGGGAACATTCTGTTTGATTATTTCAGAATTCCAAATCTTCTGAAACAACCCTTCTTACTGCCTTTTAAGAACCCCACATGGCTTCCAAAGTGATACAGCCTTGTTTCTAACAATTCCTCATTCTAATCACTGATTTTACATCATGCCTTAGAACTAATTTTGTTCTTTGCTCTAAGCTTTTGAGATCTATAAGAAAAAACAGAGAGTTTATTTAACATGAGTTACAAAGTATACCTGAAAAAAAATCCAGAACATAATCCCAAAAGTTTACTACAAACACTGACAGCAGCCTAGAAAGCACTCCAGTGTGTTGCCCGAACCCAGCAGCCTGAACACCAACACTGTTTCCCTGAAGCTCTTCTATTCAAACCCGGCTCACAGGCTGCGCGTTGCCCCACTTCCCCGGAAAACCAAGAACACAGACGTACTTGGCTGAATTACTTATTTGGTCTTCAGAGTCGTCTAAAAGAAGGAGTAGAGGCGGATGGGATGAGCTCGCCTAACAGCTCCCAGTGGGACTGCTCAAGCAGAAGCAGGACCTCACCTTTCTGGGGTCTGATGATAAAAGACTGTGTGGCCCCGTTCACCAGCCGGCAGTACCCATCTATCAAGTCAGCCATATTCTCGGCGATGGTCAGGGATGGCGCTGTCACTGTCAGAGGCTAAAAGGGGAGAAGACCGAGAGAGGCGTTATTGTTCTTTGTACCATCAAAGGGGCAGCTGTACTATGACATCAGATCTCCAGGTGCACTTGGCAACAGAAGAGTGACTGCAACACAGATTTGTCATAAGGTCGGCGTGGAAAAGGAAGTTTGATATTTAAGGATGTTATTCCTAGAATATGTGACAGAAGGCGACCCAGACAAAAACAGAAAAATCCCTTAAACTGAGATTCATTTTCTAGAACTAAAGGAGGCAAAAAAAATATTTCCCTTCAGAGTTGTCTGGCCCCTGTGGAACATCTAATTAAGGGAAGAATTTAAAGAATCAGTATATTTCAAGTATGGCCTATTTTAGAAACAAACATGGAGTAAATTTTTATCAATTATCCCTCGTAATTTTTCTAGCATTAAAGAAAATTACTAAAATCTCATTATTTGAAGCATGCACAGCATGTTTTGCCTAAGAGGTAAGAATTCACTGTTTTCACTATCAAACCTGCAATTTTGATAAACTTCCTGAAGACTTATCATTAAAGATTACCTGGGAGACGATCAGAGCTGTATTTTCCTTCCCGACACAGGGACGCCCTAACCAGAGCCAGTACTCCTCACGCCCTCGTCCACGAACAACACACCTTCCCTGAGCTCTGCTACATGTTCGGGGCGGGGGCGGGGGGGGGGGCAGTTCTGACAATGGTGGTGCCAAAAGAGAATGTTACAGAGGTGCTGTCCGGAAATTTTAACTGGCAATAGTTTCCATATTTTAGGGTTTCATTTATTCACCTCTGAGAATCAAATGCAATTCTGAGAGCCTCAGAAATGCCACGGCTCCCAAGGCAAAAAGAACAAGTGAGGAGCGTGGCAGATAAACCCGTCTGAGAAAAGGCTTCCGCCACCAGAGAGCCCTGTGCGCTGCACATAACAGACGACAGAGGTCCGAAAACGTGCTATGTGCGACAAGCCCAGTCGTTCCGACTCCACTGCCCGTCAGTCAGAGAAGGTCACCTGATGCAGTATTTGCCAGATGGCCACAACTGCATGCAGATTAAAAGCGTGGGCTCTGGGAGGCACCCCATCTCCACCACTTGTGCTCGGCTTCCTCAGCTGTACAATGGGTTCAGAGTATCTCAAAGAACTTCTTTTGGTGGGTTCTGAGAATGACCCGTGTCGCTCCTGGCCCCCACGCTAAGCGTCAGAGCAGCGGGTGACCCACCCGGCAGGAGCTGCGGCGCCGGGGCTGCCAGCAGGTGACCCGGCCCCGAGACCGCCACGCACGGCAGCATGGGAAATGACACTGCTTACTGAAGGTACCCGTGCATTTACATAATCCTAAGAAGCGGATGTCCGCGCTAGTTCACGAGAATCTTCAACCGGCTTGACAACAATGCCCCTGACCGACTTTTCCATCTGTCACCTGCTCTACTCTTGGGGGCACGTACTCATTACTACCTGAAACGGAACACTCACCACGTAAGAGAAAGCTGGGATTCTGACGACCCACAAAAACTGCATCCTTACCTCCGGGGCACCGGCAATTTTCAGCTGTAGCATCCCTTTCCTGTCCTTGTCCTCGCTGTTCGAATACTGAATGGTCTGCACTTGATTGAAGTCGGCCAGATGTGTAGGCTTGGGAGAGAAAAGGCAGCCACTTGGGACCCCAGATAAACTCCTGTCAGGTACTGCCTGACTTTCTCGCCGTGCCCACCCCGTCCCACTCTCCCGAGGACCTCCCCCCGATGACTGCGTCTGGGGGAGAGGCTGCTGATCCGTCAGCCCCCAGTGGGGTACTCTCTTCCTTAGGAGCAGTCCTGGAACCACCAGGAACTGTCTGCTCACCCCCAGGTGAGGACTATGCCTGTTCTCTGTGTTCCTAATGGCCAAGCAGGAGCGCTCCACCTGTCAGAGCTGGACGGGTGAGTCACAGGTCCCAGAGAAGGAAGGAAGTAGAAGAAAGTCCCGGATTTGACTCACTCACTGGCCTTGGGAGGAACCACGTGTGAAACCTGCTCCCATTCCCACAGAGAGAGGGACCTGTGTGCACTCCCAGTGCATCCTGAATTAGAGCAAGTCTCTGAGTGTAACAGCGCTAGGCAGTTGGCAGGTGTCCAAAGGACCCTTCTCAGGAAGACGTGCCAAGACAGACTTTGTTTCTCCAACTAGAATCAACTCTTTTCTTATGAAGACAAAAAAAAAAAAAAACCCATTTGTCCCTTAACCTTCTAGCATTTCATGACAATGATCACTTTGCTGTGGTGATTCCTACACATTTATTCACAACAATTACCTTGATTTCAGCCTCTTTCTCTTACAACGTCATGAGGATTGGCCTCTCCCACCAAGTACTCCACTCAGCCCAGATTCTGCCACTGGGACTGAGCTGGAATTATGTTTCAGAAAGTGACTCATAGTGGTTCCTGGGTGGCTCAGTCGTTAAGCGTCTGCCTTCAGCTCAGGTCATGATCCCAGGGTCCTGGGATCGAGCCCCACATCAGGCTCCCTGCTTGGTGGGGAGTTTGCTTCTCCCTCTGTTCTCCCCCAACCTTGTGCTCACACACTCTCTCTCTCTCTCTCAAATAAATAAAATCTTTATTAGTTTTTTAAAAGACTTTATTTGTCAGAGAGGAAGCGCGTGCACAAGCAGAGGGAGGGGCTCCCGCAGAGCAGGGAGGGCTCCCGCAGAGCAGGGAGCCCCATGTGGGACTCGATCCCAGAACACTGGGATCATGACCTGAGCTGAAGGCAGACACTTAACCAACTGAGCCACCCAGGCATCCCAATAAAGAAAACCTTAAAAAGAAAAAAAAAAGTTTCCCTTCACATCAGAACACCTTCACAGCTTTGCTTTCAGGCGCAGGGGTGTCCATGAGGCCTTCAGACAGGAGCCCAGGGGCAGCCCTCCGCTCTCCCACTCGAAGATGTCCAAACAACAGGCAGCATGGCCCCTGTGCCCACTCCCCTCTCTCTGCCTCTGTGCCACCTGCCCTCACGGGGTTCCCTCCTACCTCCACTGGCTGTCTTCCACAGTTCCTTTGGCTTCTCCTCTGCTCCACCTCCAAATGATCACGGGCCACAGGACTCTGTGCTGGGCCCATCCTTTCCCTGAGGTGTGGGGTGGCCCAGCCAATACCACCCAGCCCCGTGGTGCAAGTACGTCTCCAGTCCTGAACTGGGACATGTATCCAGCCACCTACATGACACCCCCACACGGACGTCGGGGACAGACCGTGAACAGCAGAGTCATGGGATCTGCTCTTAACACCTGCTCCTCCTCCAGGCCTTCCCAGTGCAGCAACAAGCATCACCAGTGAACCCTGTTCCTGAGCCAAAAAACGGAGGCATTATCACCGGCTCCTCTCTTTCCTCCCCCACAGCCATCCCAGCTCCACACCCGGAGTCTGTGCATTTTCCTTCCACCGTCCCAGCTGCCACTCAGGTGCAATCACCGTCGGTACCCTGCTTAGAGCATCAACCCTGCAGCTGTTTCCCTCGACGTGCTCCTGTCCCCCTCACAGACCACCCTATCCGGAAGCCCAGGAGGTACTTCACAGTTTAAGTCAGGTCTGACAACCCCCTGCTTCAACACGTACGACGCCAGCAAAGGGAAGCAAACACCCTGCCGATCCGCCCTCTGCCTGCCTCTTGGACCTAATCTCTTACCATGAACTCATCTTGATCAGATGTACTCTGGTCTTACCGGGGCAGAATCATGCCCCCAGAGGGTTGTTTTTGGTTGGCTGAAGAATGAGGGATAGAAATGGGGACCAGGGCCGTGAGACGTGGTAGAAAGCACAGGAAGTTCCCTCACAGCCAATACTGTGCTATGTCCTGAATGGCTTTCAAGTGTCCTGATGTGTATGCATGTTGGTGAAAAATCTGATTCTAGAACCCAAGTCTTTTTTAAAACACAAAGTATGCTCTACACTGAATTTTCCAGGAACACAACTTATGTGTAATTTAGGGAATACTGACTTTGCTATCTTTGGAATGTTATGATGAGTTGTCACCGTTTTGGAAAATGACATTATGGAGGGCAATGCTTGTTGGTATTTGACCCCATGCACACACATCTGTAACAGAGATGAGGCTCCTTCTAACAGACCAGGAATCAAATGTTATTAAGCTGGTGACGCATGAAAGAGGGGACATCTCAATTAGTCTCACTAAATGATATTAAAATATTCCTATTATTGCCATCCTATAATGAAAATATTTTTTTCCAAAGAACAATGGATATTTAAGTAATGGAAACCATTATATTCGTGTTTTTTTTTTTTTAAACCTACTGTGTTTCTGCCTCATTTTGACACGCCCCCTGAAGTCAGTCACTTTCCTATACTACTTGTAGGGGGGACTTCCGGCAGCCCTCTCTCAGATGAGCATGCTCAGTACTCAGCTCTGACTCATCTGTAACACTTGCCCGTCTCTGTGCTGCGTACTGACATACTGAAACAGACTTTTTGGAATTATATGTGCACAGCATATTCTGTGATTTTATTTCAAGTTAGCAAAAGGCTCTTAAAAATATCTGTTATAAAGAAGACAGGGCTGGGAGGGGCCCACACTGACCACCACTCTAAACTGGGACACCAAACACTCTCATGCTACCCTACTGTAGCCCGCTCTCATGATCAGATTATTTCTGTTGCTTATCATCTTTCTTATATTCGCTCTCACAAAGAGACTAAAAGCACCATGAGGGTGATCTAGTGGTGGACGCCCATCCTGTCTACCACTTATTGCAAGGAAGGAGGGCCGTGCCTGGTACATGAGGGAGTGAATGAATGACTCTGAGAACTTACAAGGTGCTGGGCTCTGTTCTAAGTACCAGGAATCCAGCAGTGAACAAGGATGACGTGAATCCAGACATAAAAAATCACACAAGCACGTAATTACAATTGTGATAAAGACCACAACAAAGCAACTGAGGGTACTGTCTAAAACTATATCCACTTTGTTTGGGGAGGGGCAGGAGGAAATGGTGAGGCCTCACTCAGAACAAGTCTCCCTGAGAACGAGAGTGGGCCCTGGGCCCCATGAAGTCAGGACCATGTGGATTTCACCCTGTGCTGGGCCCTGGCTTCCGGCTCACTGCCCAGCACCAAGCAGCTGCACACACACATGCAGACTGGCCAATGCAGCACTCCAGACAAGGCACAAAAGTAGGCATTATGGGCCCCAAGAGAGGGCAAGTGTGTGCAGAGGAGCCTGCAGAGCTGGGCTGTCTACGGTAGCGGGAAGCCGCGTGTGGCTATTGAGCAGCTGGTGGTTCGCGGCTAGTCCAAACTGAGGGGCGATGAAAATGCAGAATCCATGCCGATTCCAAAGACTCACTATAATAAAAAGAATATAAAATATCTCCACAACTTTTATATGCATGATACCTTGAAGTGATGGTATCTTGGATATACTGGGATACATAAGATATATTATTAAAATTCATTTTCATCTTTTAAAATGTGGTTACCAGAACACTGAAAAGTCCATAGGCAGTGCGCCTGGGTGGCTCAGTCGTTAAGCGTCTGCCTTCAGCTCAGGTCATGATCCCGGGGTCCTGGGATCGAGCCCCGCCATTGGGCTCCCAGCTCCGCGGGAAGCCTGCTTCTCCCTCTCCCACTCCCCCTGCTTGTGTTCCCTCTCTCGCTGTTTCTCTCTCTCTGTCAAATAAATAAATAAAACCTTAAAAAAAAAAAAAAAAACAAAAGAAAAGTCCACAGGCAGCTTGCATCATACTTGTATTGAGCAGCACTGGAGAATAAGGTGACCTAGAAGTCAGGTGAAGTAGCTAAGGACTCAGAAGTACCAAGGGGGCTCCGCTGCATGAGGGTCACTGTCCCCCCGGCGGAGGCTGGGCGGATGCTGGGGTGCCGGCAGGGGCCAGAGAGAGAATGGGAGGAACCCAGGCGGTGCACTTAGAGCAGCTCGGCTTGGGGCAGCCACGCGCCACCAGGTTCTCAACGGCCACGTGCCAAGAACTTTTGCAATAAAGCGAAGAGGAAACGTGGGCTCGCTCCCTGGCAGGGACAGGGAAAGGGATATGGGTTTGAGGGAGGACATTTTTAGGATGAGAGAGATTACACATTTTTCTACGCTAACAGGAATGGCTCAGTAGATTGGAAGCATTTACTGGTGCTGGAAAGAGAGCAGAAGAGACAGGGGGGCTGCTACATAGCCAGGGGCGGTCTTACCAGAAGCATGATGTTCACCCACGGAAGGCAAGGGACGGGAGGGTGGGTGTGGCAGGCAGAAACGCAAGCAGGGCAGATTTTATAGGCACTTCCGGGGCTCTACCCTGACACCCCCATCCTAGCTTCCTTCTACTTTATACAACAGCAGCTTTCACTTCAGAGGACAGAGATCCTCATAGTCTCAAAGAGAAAATAGACATTTTTTCCATAGAACATTGATAAAAATCAACCATATGCCTCGCTATAAAGAAGACTGGAACACATTCACAACAATTAACATGTAAAAAACCTGTTCTCTGCTCATCGGCCAGTAACATTAGAAATAATAACAGTGAGACCCAAACCCTCAGAGCTACTTGAAATTTAACACCCTCCTAAATAATGCTATGATGAAAGAAATAAAAGCTGTATAGAAATACAGTGAAAGGAGAACACCACCTACCAACATTAATAAGACATTAAAAGTTGTATGAGAAAATGGCCTCCAAAGTAAACAAAATTACATTGGAAAAAAACATCCCAAGGGGACTGCAGGAGAAAGACTAAAAACAAGCAAACAAGATTGGGCAAGGGGGTCTGCCAAGAACAATGCCAACATGAAGGAAAAGGAACGGCAATGCTGTCACCCCGATTTCTGAGCTTGCCCACAAAGGGACGCTACAAGAGACAAGCCGTCCGCACGTCTGCGAAAGCCAAACTCCCACAGACGTGCGGGGGCGTGAGACCAGGCGCAGGACTGAAGTCACCGGAAAGATGACGAGAGAACCCTGAGATACAGCTCCATGGTGACAAGCTGCAAACACGGCCGGCAGAGGACATGCTAACAGAACGCGAGTTATGACAGGCGACAAGAAGTGGACACCCCGAGCAGCTGTGCCACTGCTGGGGGGGGGGGAGGGGTGCTGGCACACCAGTCACTGAGGTGGCAGCAGGGGCCATGCAGACCCAGGCTGCCTCACCCGAAAAACACGCAATTCCCATTCTGGCTTCAAATATTTCAGGACGTAAAATCATAAAAAGACCCCAATTTACCTGATGAAATAAATTAGTGTAACTTCTAATATCCTTTAATGTCCTTATAAAGTTAATATAAAAAAGAAAAGTCTAGATTGTGATCACTTCGGCAGTACATATACTAAAAAGAAAAGACTTTTTTTTTTTTGTGCTGTGGCACATCAAGTTGTATGAAGCTGACGCGGAAAGAGACAACTGGACGGTGTCACAGAAGATCCCGAGGTGCGCCGCAGGAGGTAACAGATACATGTCTTGATGCACCTTGCTGACCCTGCTGTCTGCTCACCTGAACAGCAATGACATAACAGTGGTGACACCCAAATGCCTACCTGAGTCCTTTGTGTGAGGCCTTGATCGAATTCATTATTTAATTCTCTTACCAACCCTATTAGGTGGCTGAAATTATTACGGCCATTTTACCAATGAGGAAACACAGGCCATCTGTGGAGGGACGGAGCCCAAGTCACAAGGCTAGCATGAGAGTGACTCAAGGTGGCAACCGTGGCCATGTCCTCCGGAGCCTGCCTCTCTTGACCGCATTCAGGGCCCCACCTGTGACCTCACCTGAGGACTCTGGGTGGATTCCAGGTGGGTTAAAGGCTTACATGTAAACAGGACAGAGACAACATTGCAAGAAAATCCAGCAGACCACAAATCAAACCTCAAGGCTAGGACTACAACAATCTGTAAGTGGTGAAAACAGGTAAGGTCACAGACTGTCCTGGAGAGGTCACACCAATGGCTGCTCTCGCCATCAGCGTAGGAAAGCTCCAGCGGGGCCACACTCTTGTCAACACTTGGTTCTTACAGCTCTTTCTCATTTTAGCCATCCTAGTAGACACATGATAGCACCACACTGCGCGTATCTGATGACTCCGAGGCTTAACACTTCTCATTTATCTCTAGACTATTTGGATGTCCTCTTGGGTCATCTGCCCTTAATGATTTACTGCCAATCTTTATCCTGGCTTAGGAGACTATTGTCAAATACATTCATGCAAATACCTGGCTTGCCTTTCTACTATCTTTTGATGAAAAGAGTTCAATGTACTCTAATTTATCAGAATTGTCTTTCAGAGTTAGCACTTTTTAAGTCCTGTTTAAGGAATCTCTGCCTACCCCAAATTTATAAAGATAATCTCCTATGTTTTCTTCTATGACTTTTATCATTTGCCTTTCACATGTAGATCAATATTGCATCCGGAATGGGTTTTGTTAAGTGTGTGACAGAGCTCAGAATACCCTGGTTTTTCTCTGTGAATACTCAGCGGACGCTGCAGCATTTACTGAAGAGTTCATCAATGATGCAGAACTCAGGACAGCAGCCCCTCTCGGGGTAGGGGTTAGAGACTGGGAAGGGGCAGGATTCATCTTTGTCTGCACTCAGGTCCAGCGTGAGGAGAGTCCGTGCACAGGCAGCCCCGAGATGTCACCAAAGCAGACTTACGTTGCACCCCTTGTCCGTGAGGTAACTGATTCCTTCTTCTGGGCCAATTGCCAGTTCTACCGAAATAATCCAGCTTGACTTTTGAAGGGTGGAACAGGTAATGACAAAGGTCCCAGAAGAAAAAAGAAATATTTTAGATGAAAACATGGACACATTAAAGGACCAAGGTGGGGGTGGAGGTGGGGGGCTGGTTCAGCTTGCCATTCATCTATCCAACCGAGTACTACAAAATGTCTGTAACTTCACTGATCCAGTATCTGGTGGGTCTGAAGCTAATGGTTTCTTTGGAAAGATTATTTGAATAGGTTAAACTAGCCCAGAGAGAACAGTTCATTAACAAATCACTGGGCTGGAATAAAAAAATCCAATTATCAACACAGGGCATGCTTTTAAAAAAAGATGAATTCATCCTCACATTAATACGTTTTCTTTTTTCATTTTTTCCCCACTGTAAAATGACAAACATTTCCATGTTGTTAAAAATGTGACAAATCAGATTTCAATCAGAAATTTAGACATACATGGATAAGAAAAAGCAAAAGAAATGAAACCCAGTTCACCATTTCCCATGTCTCCATACTTACACCCAGAGCACACTTGAAGCATTCTTTATCAAATCTGTACACTGGGGAGAGGATCTCAAAGAACTTCAGAATACTTTCTTCTCTGTTAAGATTGGCAAACTGTCTAAATGTCTGTTGGATCAGCTTTCTTAGTGTTTTGGCCTGCATGATAAAATCACAAAAATCATTTTACAGTCAACAACGCACCACAACAATAGCGAATGTCAAAGCTCTCTTTCCCTCCCACCGCTCGCTCCAACCTATATTCACATCACTATGAAATGCCGTTATTTGCCAAAGCCTATTTCCTTTTTTAAGTAACTGTAATAAAATGCACACAGTATAAGATAATAGCATCCTAGCCCTTTTTAAGTACACAGTTCAGTGATTCCAAGCTTTACTTCTTAAATAGAAATTTAGAAGGTAATAATTTGCTTATTAGAACATGTGGTAAAAAGTTAGGCATTAAAAAACACATACTATCTTAAAAAATTAAACATAAAAAATAAAATAAAAAACACATACTATCTATGCACATGACGGGGAGCTGACAAAAGCTTAGATGGGAAGGCACTCACATACCCCACTGTTAGGAGGGTAAGTTGATACAACCTTTCTGAAGAGCAATTTGGCAGCACGGATAAAAATACCCTCAAAAAACCTACAACTCTGGATCCAGAAATTAAATTCCAAGGCACTAGTCTTTAGAAATGATTAATGAACTCCACAAAGACTCAGCAACGAGGAGGTTCAGTGCAGAACTATTTATAGTAGCAGCTGGGTTATATGCATCATAATACGTCTGCCTATGTTGTATGAGCCCGCAAGACCATTGTGTGGAATGAATTTACTGATGTGAAAATCCCTATTGTGGTGTTAGGTGAGAGAATCTGGTGAAACAATGTGTATGTGCATACAGATGCCTTTAAAAGGAGAGCACCGTTGAGGGGACTCACACACGTATCCACACACAGAGAAGGAGATGGCACAACTATGCTCCTTTTCTGTGTAGTGGGATCATAGGTGATCTTCCAGACCATTTTTGCACATTTGAGCATTCTATTTATGCACCACAAGCATCTGGATGGTGGAGGGAAGGGCCCTCCAGGCAGCAAGCCCATAGCCCATGGTGCATCAGCAGGAGCCCGGGGAGGCCTGTGGGGAAAGGATGCAGGATGAGGTCTGCGGAAGAAGGCTGGGGGGAGCCAGCCGCAGGAAGCACCCGGCTTCCATCCTGGGAAGAGACAAAGTCCTTGGGCACCTTGGGGAGAGTGACGTGATCCGACACATCAGCTGCTGTGCTGTGAACGGTATGAAGGCAGCAGGAGAGACCAAGAAGGAGGCTACGGAAGTAATCTAGGCGAGAGGTGAGCAGAGTCTACACAAGCATAGAAGCAGAAAGGGGTGAGAAGCAGATTTATGCTGAAAAACAGAACCAACAAGATGTGCTGAGAGGTAGGAGTTACAACAAACTGAAACGGTAGGCCTGTGGGGAAGCAGGTTGGCAGGTGAAGGTCTCGCAGGAGACCCAGGGCCCCGATGACAGCTCGGTGTGAGGTGCACTCAGACAGGAATCAGAGCCAGCAGACCGGAGAAGACTGGGGGTGGCAGAGGGAGAGGAGGGGAAGGGCCTCATCCCCCAGAGCATGCCCATCTTAGCAGGTCAGGGAGATGTGGCTGCTCGGGCAGCTAGGGGGGTGGCCCACCAGGAAGTGGCACACAGAGGTGACAGCCCACTGCAGTGGCTTGAAGGCCCCCGTGTGGTCAAAGGTTTACTGGATCTGGGACACTGCAGAGAGCGAGCTGACAGCTAGGCCCTGTGGTCAAAGAGTGGGACAGAGTCCCAGCGGCCTGCACTTACTGAGGATGAAGCAGACAGTGCGAGAGGCCGGGCAGGCCGACGACAGGGTTCAACGAGCTGAGGGAACAGGTGTTGCAACATGACCTTCATTTTAGAGGCTCGCGCTGCTCTTGCCCGGAGGGTGTGGAGGAGGGTGTGAGAAGCAAAAAGACCGGCCAGGTTCCTGGAATAGACCACCCGAGAAACACTAGTGGCACAGACCCTGAGGCGGCGGCGAAGGAGAGAGCCAGGCACCTTTGGGACACTCGGGCGACTGTGTGCAGGACGGCAGGAAAACAAGCACCTGGGCAGGATGAAGGATGAGGTTTCTGGAAGGAACGGGGGGCAAACAGAAGGGGCAGCTTGGTGAAAAGAAAGTCACCCCGACTCCGGACGTGGGCGCGATGCTTACATCTGGACCTGAGCCATCAGGTAGACAGCTGCATACAGATCTGGAGCTCAGGAGAGGGCAGGGCTGGGGACAGCACTGTCAGAGTCCACCAGCTGACGGATTCACAGATGGCTCCCACCAACCAAGTGGAGGTGGGAAAGAAGAGAAGGCTGCAGCCAGGTCAGTAGGCCAAGGGCTGGTTTGAACCAGGGCTGGGGCTCTGATGGGTGAGTAGGACAGTGGAACTGCAGGTATTCTGAGGAGGATTAGGGCTCAAGGTTAGCAAGGCTTCACTGGCAGAGAATATGAACAGTTAGCTTTGGATGCTCAGGAAAGAAAAGTCTGGGAAACATATTTTGGGGAATGCCCATCTAAGCACTGGCCATGAGCCAAGGGACTGAAAAGGCCACTCTTGTCACGGGCAGAGATGGCACATAATAGTTGTTCTGACTTCAGGCTTTGCAAATATTCTTGTGGCCTGTTAGGTCCGGCTGTCCGCCAGGAGCGTGTAGACTGGCCACGAAGACCTGAGTAAGAGTGCAACTCCAACCTAACAATGCTGAGATAGACAAAATGGAAATAAAGTCTGGTCTGTCCTGTAACTGAGGACACTTCACTCCCTAGCATGTAAGCGGGAAGACAGCTCTGACTTCTTTCATTTCAACGGCCTGAGGCAGGGCATATTGCCGCTGGGTGCTCACACGCCCATGGAAGGAGAAAACCAGTGCACAGAAAGCCCCAGAATGCCCTCCAACTCTTCCTACAAGTGCAGGACACCATAAACCAGAATATGGCAGCAGCCACAAAGGATGGTTGTCTAAGGAGGATGGGGACTAGAACACAGTGACAAATCATTTTTATTAATTAGAAGTTGATATAGTCACTCATGCCTCTAAGAGGAATACTTTCACTCAGAGCAGATGAGTAATGACATGCAGCGATTAAAAACATGTCAAAGAGGACCAGAAAAGAAGCCAATTCTCTGCCTTGTAGCCAATTCCCAACCAGCCACTTGTTTAGAAACAACCAACAATATTCTACACTTACACCTGCTCATTTGTGCAGTGCTTTCAAAAATGGGTCACCCAAAGAGGTTTCTCTCTGAAGTGGTGAGACAGAAGTCTCTCTTTAAAGCCGAGCGGCTGAAGTCTCATCTTGAGCATCAGACTTACACACACCCACATGCCCACCTGAGATTCCCACTGAACTTCCCACACATCTGAAGGCTGACCAGCCACGAAGCGAACTCCGGACTGCCCTCCAGGCTCAGCGCTCCCATCTCGGCCGACCTCCCAGCTGCTTAAGGTAGAAACCTAGGTGGCAGCCCCAACCCCTCTCTCCCCTAACCCCTTAAGCCTCAAACCCCCAAGTCCTGCAAGTGCTTTCAAGTGCTTTCACAAAAAGCACGTGGTGTTCTTTAATGCTTTCCACCATGCCAGCTCCACCTCTGCCTGAACCTGTGACAGCCCCCCAGGAGTACCATCTGCTTACCTGACACACTGTCGCCAGGTGCTCTTTTTAAAACATGACCTGGATCACCTCACTCTGCAGCTTCAACCCTTGGGAACTGAGGAAACTGAATCATCTAACTATGCAAGTATTGAGCATGAGATGCCTCAAGGCCACAGGGGTCAGGGGGGAAGAGTGGCAGATGAACAGGTTCAGCCCGAGAGTGGCAGCCAAGTCAGGGGCCGTGTCATCACCGGCCACTTAGGGAGGCTCAGGGAGGGCACAGCTGCTTTCTCGTCTCCAGCCTCCCTCTATCTCTGCAGCACCCTCAGAGTGAAGTTCGTCTGTCACAGCCATCTTACAAATGAGGAAACAGAGGCACAGAGACAACGAAGACCCCAAATCTCAGAGCTGCATGGCAGAGCCAGGACTGAAGCCCGAGCAGCCTGGCGCCAGTGTCTGCAGTCCCGCTGAGAGCATCACTCCCCCTCCTGGAGGCCGTCGGCTTGGGGGCTGAAGCTAGCCGAGTGACCAGGGCATCGGGGGTGCAGGCCTGAGGACAGGGCTCCCGATGGGCCTTGCGGCCACCCCGGCATTTCAAACAAGTCCTGGTTAGGGCAGGAGCCTAGCCAGCACATGGCATGCGGCACACACTGGGTGCCTAACAAGTGTCTTAAAGGGACGGGCAGGTTCAAGAACAAAGAAAGGACGCTGTCCCATCCCATTAGCCTTCACCTTCTGTGCAGCACCGAAAATTGCAGCCAGAAGTTTTGGTAGAAGAGAGCTGGTGAAATTATGAGGGAGGGAACAAGTGTGCTCAGGAGCCTCACATGGGGTTGGTCCTTTTATTACAGCAAATTCAATGATGTTGCTGTGCAGACCTCCTGCTTTCCAGGCTTTTTTTTTTTTTTTAACATTACAAAGCTGGTTGTAAAAAAAGAACTCACATGTAACAGGTAAATGCGAATGACCTCTGAGTCCCTGTGGATCCTGCCCCACTGACCCCGTGACAGGACTGCTCCCCACCCTGCTTCCCCTGCGTGTTCTGTCCCTCCACCCACTGCCAGCAGGAGGGCCGCTTGGGGCGTGAGGCGGAAATGTGAGGCCAGGCCCTGCTCCTCCGCCCTCCTCCCCGCATCAGCCTCACGCCCTCAGGGCTCTGCCCTCAGTGCTCTCCATGGGCAAGACTCTGCCTTCTGACCTTTCCCTGAGGCTCGAAACAGTGTGTCCTGAGGATCAAGGAACACCAAAGAGTGCCCGACTTCTGCGACTCTACGATGGGATGGAAGCCATCACCCCAGCACTCCTGCTTCAACCCCAACACCCAGCTGGGGACCCCCGCACCTCAGCATTTACCTGCTGGGAATTTCTGAGTTGCTGGGATGGCCCTGAAAGTGACAACTATGAATGTGTATCAACACAGAGAGTCTGAAGCACAGGTTTCCCGCATTTGTCCCACATCAGTCTCAGGCGGCCGAATGT